GTGGGCAAGCAGGAAGCTAGAGTGAGGAGCCAGGGGTGGGGATTGAACACAGCACTCTGATACGAGACTAGATATCTTAACTGGCATCTAGCTCCTGATAGCTTTCCCAAAACTCACTCTGGCTCTCTGACTGCCGTGTGAGGAATGGATTAGAAGGGAGGATTCTAGAACCAGAGAACTGATTATGATTCCTTCCATCATCTTCCCAGGAACTGATACATTCCAAGGCAGAGGCAGAGAGCTGTTTAGGTGGAGAGCTGTTTAGGACTGTGGCTCTACAACTGTGGACCAGAGACCACCAGGGGTCCCTGAAGCCCCCTCAGGGGATCCATAAGGTCAAAACTATGTTCACGATAAAGTGAAGGCAATATTAGGATTGTCCGCTGTGTTGATTTGCATTAATAGCACAAAAATGGTGATGGGCGAAACAGCTGGTTCCTTAGCACAGTCAAGGCACTGAAGTCCACTTACAGCCCTGCATTGTTCACTCACAGGGGAAACAACTCTGAGTTTCTTTGTAAAATATCCTTGGTGAAGCAATAAAAATGATTGTGTGAAATCTTGCTTTGTGAGAGCACACCTCTTTAATATTTTGTGTGAAGCAAAATAGAAAGCATACATGAAGGGGCTGGCATTGTGGCGTAGTGGGTAAAGCTGCTGCCTGCAGGGCTGGCACCAGTTCAAGACCTGGCTGCTCCACATCTTATCCAGCTCTCTGCTATGGCCTGGGAAAGCAATGGAAGATGGCCCAAATGCTTGGGCCCTTGTACCTATGTGGGAGACCCGGAAGAAGCTCCTGGCTCCTGGCTTCGGATCGGCGTAGATCCAGCCATTGCGGCCATTTGGGAAGTGAACCAGTGGATGAAAGGCCTCTCTCTCTCTGTCTCTGCCTCTCTGTAACTCTGTCTTTCAAATAAATAAATAAGTAAATCTAAAAAAAAAAAAAGAAGAAGAAAGCACACATGGAGCACTTCCATTGAAATCTAAAATATGATGGTGGTCTCAGTTCAGTTATGGACTTGAGCATTTCCACCTAGAAAAAAAAATGAATGAACTCAAGCTATGTTGACTCGAATAGTTGAGAGACATTTTCTTGAAAAATGAACAAAGTGAACCTCCCACTTCTGAGACAGCAACTTTTCTTCATTTGTGGTGTTGTATTTGTTACTAGTTACATGTCTAGGCTATGATGAAGTCTGACTTTTCTGGAGGAAATAGAGTTTTTGGAAAACTTGTATCCACGTCTGTAAATGTGGCAACTGCCCAAATCTTAAAGACCTTATGATGAGGTTAATGGTTGTTGTGGCTTGAACCATGTCCCCACAAAGACCTGCCGAAGACCTAATCCCTGGTACCGGTGACTGTGACCTTCCTGGGAAATCAGATCTTTGCATAGGTGATTGAGCCTGGATGAGGTCATGCTGGGTTAGCGTACGCCCTAGATTCATTGAACAGCTACAGGTGGAGATTTGAGTACAGAGGCACAGCCCAGGCAGGGAAGAAGACCACATGAAGACAGAAGTTGACCAGGAGGGTGATGCAACTGCAAGAGCAGAAAGATTTGGAATTTCCAACAAGCACCAAAAACAAAGAGAGAAAGGTTTGGAAGGCAAGGAACCCTTAGCGCCTCAAGAAGGAACCAAGCCTGCCAACACGCTGATCTCAATCTCCAGCCTTCAGAAATGTCAGAAACTGTTCTGACCCACGCAGCTTCTGGTGCTTTGTCACAGCAGCCCTGGGAAGCAAAGCAGCGGTGAAAACGTCAAATGTGGTTATTTGATAAGGTAGACGGAAGTGTGTTAGGAAGAGGTGCATAACCCAACCCACCAAAATTTCCAAAGCGCAGTGTAAAATGTCACAAAATCATGCGTGAGTACCAGATCAACTCTACGTATAAAAGAGATCAAGAGATTTTAGTGTAGCAGGATGAGAAGCTGATGGTTTAGGAAATTACCAGTTGCTGATCTTTAGGGCATCACCATAGACAGTGGTCTGCAGTCACCTAAGGAGGTTGTTAAAACTCCCCACTGTTTTTCACCTGCTTCTTACATTCAGGATGGACTTTTCTCCATATACTTCCACCAAAACAATGAACTACAACACAAGAAGATATGATAACCAGCTCTCTTCTGTGAAATGACACTAAAGAAATTTGTGAAAATGCAGAGCAATGCAATTCTTCTCACTAAGTATTTTGTTTGTTTGTTTTGGAAAATAGTAATTTTTACAAAAATATTAATGTTTGCATCATATCAATATATATGAGTTTATTACTTGAAATAAACTAATACCTCAAAATGTCTTGATTTAAACTTCTACTACAGTCAATATCTATAAATTTAAAGCTGTAAGTATAGCTCATGTACATAGAATTTCTAGACTTCTCAATGATTTTTAAGGGTATAAATTAATTCAGAGACTTAAGTTTGAGAATCACTCATTTAAAAGGTAGAGGGTCACCCCCCGGGAAATGATCAATATCTGAGGGATATCTTAATTACCTGGTGTGACCATTACACAATGCATACATGTATTGAAATAGTACTTGTATCCCATAAATATAAGAGATCTTCAAAAAGTTGATGGAAAATACATGTTGTCTAATTGCATTTCCCCACTAGTTTTTAAAAATATCCTTGTATTGTAAAAAACTATGCATGAGTTTCAAATTCTTCTGAATCAAAATACCTGTATATTTTAATTCCATTTTCCCACAAACTTGTCAAAATATCTCACATGCGTAGTTATTATATGTGGCTCTAATTTGTTTTTTCGGTTTTCATTTGGAGAGACAGAGAAGAATCTCCCATCCTATTTCACTCCCCACACACCTGCAACAGCTAGGGTTGGGCTGGGCAAACCAAGGGCCTAGAACTCAATCCAGGTCTCCTACATGGGTGGCCCAAGTACATGAGCCATCCTCTGCTTACCTTCAAGGGTGTGCATCAGAAGGGAGGTGGGTCTGAAAGGACATACCCATGGTGCCGGCGGTGTGGCATAGCAGATAAGGATGCCGCCTGCAGTGCCGGCATCCCATATGGGCACCAATTTGAGTCCCAGCTGCTCCACTTCCTTCCCAGCTCTCTGCTATGGCCTGGGAAAGCAGTAGAAGATGGCCCAAATCCTTGGGCCCTTGCACCTGCGTGGGAGACCTGGAAGAAGCTTCTGGCTTTGGATCAGCACAGCCCCAGCCGTGTGGAATTTGGGGAATGAACTAGTGGATGAAAGACCTCTCTCTCTCTCTTTTTCTCTCTCTCTCTCTGCCTCTCTGTAACTCTGCCTTTCAAATAAATAAATCTTAAAAGGGGAGGGGGAATATAGCCAGAATTCAATTCAAACTGAGCACTCTGGGGGCTGGCGCCATGGCACAGTAAGTTAATCCTCCGCCTATGGTGCTGGCATCCTATATGGGCACCAGTTCTAGTCCCGGCTGCTCCTCTTCCAATCCATCTCTCTGCTGTGGCTTGGGAAATCAGAAAATGGCCCAAGTGTTTAGGACCCTGCACCCACATGGGAGACCGGGAATAAACACCTGGTTCCTGGCTTTAGATCGGCACAGCTCCGGCCATTGCGGCCATTTGGGGAGTGAATCAGCAGATGAAAGACCTTTCTCTCTGTCTCTCCATCTCACTGTCTATAACTCTACCTCTCAAATAAATGAATAAAAATTCTTAACAAAAAAAAAAAAAAAACAAAACTAAGCACTCTGAAACAGGATGCAGGTATTTTAAGCAGGTGACTCAGCATTGTACCAAATATTTTTAAATATATATAAAGTTTGGTAAACGGTTGATGGAGCTGTGGCAGGGGAGCCCCTGGAAAGGAGAGAACTGCTGTGAGCAGAGTGCCTGGCCTGGAGGCCAGCAACACACAAACACCAAGGCACAATGGAAACGAACGCTGGCTGGAGACCAGTCCAGGAGTCCAAAAAAGGAGCTCACAGGAGTGATGTCAGAGAAGCCAAGCAAGGCCAAATCTTCAACAAGGGAGCAGGGAATAGCAGCAAATACCATGACGCAGTGAACTGGGCCCAAAGAGACAGGCTGGGAGCAGCGTCAAGGAGCAGGGGGGAGTCATGGAGGCGGCAGGATGGGGCAGGCCGAAAGGAGAAGAGTCAGATTTATACGCAGGGGCTCTTTCCCCCCATAGTAATGTAAGAATACACATCTATTTTGTGTATGCAATGGTTATTGCACCCTGTAAACATCCAGCCTGATTCTGTTTTCAAACGGCTTCTAACAACTCTTCTCCCCATGCTGGTTTTGTGAAAGCTCATTACTGTAAGACTTAATTTAAGGACAAATATGGGCTAGTCAACTTAGCAAGCTGTACGCTGGCCCCGGTAGGTTCAGAGTGCTTTCATAAAGCCTTCCCTGAACAGCTGGCACTGTTGAACAGCAGTAGCACGTTGCCTCGCCGGCTGTCACAGCACTGCTCATGCCCAGATGGAGAGCTGGCCGCGCTGTCCACAATGCCTTCCCGCGGGCTGCCTTCACCTTCCGTCTTGAGCTGGGCCGTTTCCACTGACGGTGCACCTTCCGTAGTCTCTGCTCTCTCTTGGCCAAAGACAGGCTTAGCGGACTCGCCGCTTTCTGCACGGCTTTCTGCCAGCGTGTTTCTCCCGGGATTCCACCAATCTCTTGGGGCTGTCCATCCAAAATAGGTGAGTTAGCCTGTGCCACCTCAGGGTGCTCTCGGCCTCTGCGTCCGCTGTGTCAAGTGCTTGCAGCAGCTCAGGGTTCTTGTTGCCAGTCTGAGATCTCAAGTCGACATCTCTGTCTCAGGACATCTCTTCCACCCTCTTAGGCTTTGTCTTAAGGGCCTCCCCTGTTCAAGGCAGCCGGTCTGGCCCCTATCATAGACACCTGCATCACAAGCTCTGGCACAGAGTCTGTAATCAATCTCTTTTAACGGCACGTGGCTGGAGCACCAAGGCAAGGGTCTCTCTCAGGCCCATCCAGGTGCCTTGGCACATTCACTGTTTCCAGCATCACAGCAGAAACACTTGCAATATATTTTTTTTATTTGACAGGTAGAGTTATAGACAGTGAGAGAGAGACAGAGAGAAAGGTCTTCCTTCCATTGGTTCACTCCCAAAATGGCTGCCACGACCGGCGCTGAGCCGATCCAAAGCCAGGAGCCAGGTGCTTCCTCCTGGTCTCCCATGCAGGTGCAGGGGCCCAAGCACCTGGGCCATCCTCCACTGCCCTCCTGGGCCACAGCAGAGAGATGGACTGGAAGAGGAGCAACTGGGATTAGAACCCGGCGCCCATATGGGATGCCGGTGCCACAGGTGGAGGATTAACCAAGTGAGCCACGGCGCCGGCCTCGAAACACTCGCAATTTTAACTCCATCTTCTACAAATTCCGAAGCCCTCTTCTGTGAGCGAGGAAAAAAAGAGAAGTAAAAAGCTGAAAATTCAGGAAACAGGGGTATAAACCATAGAAGAAGATCCCCCCCCACCCAGAGAATGCCAGAGAATGGAATGTATTGGGATCCAGTAGACAGTGGGGGGGTACAAGGTAGGAGCTGTGGGCCATGGCCATTTGCTGGGTGAGGGGCTTGAGAAGATATTTACATTACGTGTGCCTTGGTTCCCTCTTCAGAAAATACGGAGAGCAATCATACGTAAAGATCTGGGTAAGAAGACAGCCTGAGTTAACACTCATCAAGAATTTAAAACAGTGCCTGGCAAATGAAGTGCCCAGCCTTCACTGCTACTGCTGAGGCTGAGGGAGGGGGGAAATGATGGCATCCAAAGCCCAGCAAAGTGGCTAAGCTGGGGGGACGGGTGGAGAGAGTGCCTGCCTGACATCCCCCCACCCCAACTTCTCTGAAGGAGATGTGACTTAACAGGTGGTCCTGCTGGGGTTTAGGGAGAGTGGCATAATTCTAATGTGACAGGTGGTGAATACAAACACAAAATTGTTTTTACAATGACTGTCTTCAACCACACTTTCTGGCTTCTTAAAAGATAGTTTAAAATTTCAAACTCGGGGTCAGAGTTGTGACACCATGATTTAAGCTGACATTTGTGACACCAGCAGCCCGTATCTGAGTGCCTGTTTCATTCCCAGTTGCTCTGCTCTGCTTCCAGTCCGGCTCCCTGCTAATGTACCTGGGCAGGCAGCAGCAGATGATCCAAGTGCTTGGGCTCCTGCCACCCATGGAGGTGACCAAGATAGAGTTCCTGGCTCCTGGCTTCAGCCTGGCCAAGCCATTTAAGAAGTGAATCAGCGAGTTGAATCTCAATCTCTCTCTCAATCTCTCTCTCTCTCTCTCTCTTTTTCTCTCACTCTCCCTTTGGCTCTACTTGCAAACAATAAATAAATCTTTTAAAATAATGATACAAAATTTCAAACTTATAAAAACAATCTGCAACTGGGATTCTGATGTTCAGCTCTTCCAGTGAGGGGAGGACAGGAGGAAGTGAAGGGAGCAAATGTCCCTTTCTCTAAGCAGCCATTGTTACTTACCATCTCTCTGGCAGGTCGCTGCATGATACTAGCAAACTGGTACAAGCTGGCCCTCTTGTCCTCTAGGTAGCAGGTGCCCAAGAACAGAGCGTGCCAAGGCTCCTGTGAGAACCCTCGTGAGGGCTCTCAGATGGGAGAGGTTGCTTAGATCTTCAACCCCCTGGCCTCCACTACTCCACCTAAGGCAGCAGCCCCTGTACTTGGTGACCTGGCCCCGTGCACTGCTGCTTATCAGCAAGGCACAGGCACTTGATTCTCAGCACTGTGGGCAGGATGCTTGTGGGGAACAGGGTCCCTCTCCCGCAACATGGCGGGGCGCCCAGGAGACAAATAAGTACTGAGACTGTGGACTGAAACTAACTCTATGCGTCTGATCTCCCACCATATGGCGCTGAGAGGGAGTAAACCAATCTTACACAGCTGCTTTGTCGATTGGCTGATTCCTGATTCAGCCTCTGATGGGAGGCTCAGCGTGTGGAGAGAGAACGCTGGCAGAGCACGGATTGGTGGGAGAGAACTATAAAAGGGGGAGAGAGACAACATGCGGGGGCCCCCTGAGAGAGTCGGTCAGAGAGCTGGTTGGTGTGGGTTGGTGCCGCTCCTCCATGAAAGCAGGGGGAGTGGCGGGGGTGCCGCTCCTCCGTGGAGGCGGGGGAGCGGCAGCAAATCCGGGAAGGACTGGGGAAAGAAAACAGCGTCTGGTCCGGTGTCGTTCCTCCGCGAGTGGGGGAGCGACAGATGCTCTGCTGTTTTCCTTGATAATTCCCCATCTCTCGAGCCCCCACATCTCCCCTGGCTGTGTGGAAAGGGTGTGAAGGTGGTGTTTCAGGGCCTGTGTGCAGTAGCGGGCAGGGCTGGATTTGTCAGCTCCTCCTACTAAACCCCAGGAAGGTGGCCATACCTTAGAAGAAGCAGTCCTAGGATCTACGGCTTTGCTCTGTTGGTCCTGGTACTGGAGCAACCGCAGACAAGTCCCCTCAACCTGCTAGACAGCCACAGTGAGAAGTCAGAGTGTTGTTGGCTGAGCCCAGAGCTGCAAGACACAAGCTTAGGGGCGGGCACTGTGGTATAGCAGGCTAAGCCTCTGCCTGTGGTGCCAGCATCCCATATGGGCACCAATTCCTGTCATGGATGCTCTTCTTCTGTAGGACCCCAAAAGCGGTGTCCTTTTGTGACGACCCCAGAAACACAGACTCCAGACCAGACGATGCAAAAGGCAGGAGGCAATTTTATTTCATTTGCGCAAATGGGCCCCCTACTGCTGCAAGCAGCGAGCAAGAGAGAGGAGCCCCGAACAATCATTTTACACAGTTTTTAAAGGGCAAGACCACAAAATTAACATACTATAGGGTGGCGTAAGTTTATTGGGCAACTACAAGGGGAGGAGGTCGTCGAGGAGGAGGAGAAATAGGGGGCTACGTGCCCTACGTGTCTAAGCTTGGATATGGGGAGGGGGTCCTTGAAGAGCAGAAAGGGGTGGCTACGTGCCCCTACGTGTCTCGCGGTTTCTTTGTTAAGCTTGAACAAGCACAGGGGAGGGGGCTTAGGTGCGTACCAGGATGTTCTGTCGCCCTTATCTCTGGGTAGTAGCCCTTATCTCAGGGTAGTAGCCCTTATCTCTGGCTAGTAGCTATCTGCTTTCTCTGTGAACTTAGTTTACTCCCCATTTCCCAGGACTGTTTTATTAAGGCCATTTTATGGCGGCTCTCGGCCGCTCCTTTCACTTCCATTTATTTATTTATTTATTTATTTATTTATTTATTTTTGGACAGACAGAGTTAGTGAGAGAGAGAGAGAGACAGAGAGAAAGGTCTTCCTTTTTCCATTGGTTCATTCCCCAAATGGCCACTACAGCTGGCACAATGCGCCAATCCAAAGTCAGGAGCCAGGTGCTTCTTCCTGGTCTCCCATGCGGGTGCAGGGCTCAAGCACTTGGGCCATCCTCCACTGCACTCCCGGGCCACAGCAGAGAGCTGGACTGGAAGAGGAGCAGAACCGGCGTCCCAACTGGGACTAGAACCCGGAGTGCTGGTGCCACAGACGGAGGATTAGCCTAGTGAGCCATGGCACCAGCCTGTTCCTCTTCCTATCCTGCTCTATGCTATGGCCTGGAAAAGAAGTAGAAGATGGCTCAACTCCTTGGACCCCTAAACCCACGTGGGAGACCAGGAAGAAGCTCCTGGCTCCTGGCTGTGGATCAGACCAGCTCCAGCTTTTGCAGCCATTTAGGGAGTGAACCAGTGAATGGAAGATTTTTCTCTCTGTCTCTCCCACTCTCTGTCTGTAATTCTACTTCTAAAATAAAATAAAATAAAATACTAACAAAATAAAATAAAACACACAAGCTTAGGGAGGCCAAAGGGAGACTAGATTCCAAGGAGGCAACATTCAAGCGTGTTTGGCCTGATCCTGAGGTTTACAGGGGTCTTAGATTCTGGACAGAGGCCAGAGGAACTCAGGAGAGCGTGATGGAGAAGAGAGCAGTCTGCCACACCCGCAAAGGATGCCTTTTCAAGATGGGGAGGTGGAGGGAGCAGTCAGGCCAGCTGGGGTTGTCCCTGTTATCTCAGAGCCTGCAGGCTATGGGTTGGTTCCTCTGGCAGTTTAGCAGAAAAAGAGTCCCTCTGCCTGGGCCACATTCACACCAATGCAGGGCGTCAGGGCTGAGCTAGAATGATCTATGCTCATTGTGTCAGGGCGAAATGGCAGCAAGGAGGTGGCCTCGGCTCTTTGACGCAAAAGAATTATCATGCGGACACGCAGTGAAAGTAAAGTAGGTTTTATTTAGGTTGGAAACCTCCTGCAGAGTGGCAAAGAGGAGGTTCCAAGAGAGGAAGACTCACAGGGCAGGCGGTAAAGAGGTTTTTAAGTATAATCTTGTGGACAAAACTGTCAATCAAGGAGGTGGGGACCAACTCAACAAAAGACCTGATTTACAATTCTCCACCCTGTCTAGCATGCTTAGGATAAAAAACCGTGGTGGTGGTGGTGGTGGGGAATCACCACTCCCTTGCTATTTTCATGGTAAATTTGCAAATTGGAGATTGTTAAGGAAGCAGGACACTTTGACCTGCTAAAGATAACCTTTTTTGGAGGGAAGCAGGCACCTAGCAATTCCAAATTTCTAACTGGGGACCACCCTGACTGCCTATTACCCAATTAACTCCTCACAACTGTAGCATGCCAAATGACACATTGGACCATAAGAAGGGAGAAAAAGGGTGACAGCTAGATCCTGGGAAAACTTACCTACTTCCCAGAGAAAGCATGAGTTATTCATCTCCTTTATTAAAATGTCCCTCTCCTTTGATTAGACCCACGCACTGTGAAACTCAGACAGATCCAGCGCCCTCTGAGTGAGTTTGCAGTCTCACCATGGAGTATGTGCTTTTGCTTTCTGGGTACGACCCTTGCCACTCTGTTCTCCCACTTGCTCTCCGATCGTTTCTTGAGACAAAGAACCGGGGTTCTGGGCAGCTGGCACCCGCGGTCCTGCCCCCATCCTGAAGGCCTGTGGTGTGCAGAGCAGCACTGGCCTCTCCCTGCTACAGCTGTGCCCTGCCCACCAGTGGGAACACCTCTTCCTCAAGCGAGGGGCCGGAGCTGCCTGAGCTCAGCTCTGCAGAGCCACCACAGGGGTATCTGGAGCTGGTGCGCCCCAGGCCCTGACTGTCTCTGGCCGACTTCTCCAGAAACAGACAGTGAAAAGCTGGTTTGAGGAAGCAGTGTTTCTTAGGGATGAACACCTCTCCGAGCAAGAGGATCAGGCCCAGGATCCGCTGGAACTGTGATGCAAGGCTGGCAAAGCCTCAGAAGCCTGTCACACAGGAGCCAGGAGCTCCTCTGGATCTCCCACGCAGGTGCAGGGGCCCAAGCACTTGAGCCATCTTCTACTGATTTCTCAGGCCATAGCAAAGAGCTGGATCAGAAGAGGAGCTGCTGGGAGATGAATTGGTGCAGCAGGTGGGGGCTTAGCCCACTTTGCCACAGTGCTGGCCCCAGCGTGGTTACTCTTAAGGCTGGTGACTAGAAGGAGGTACATAGTACATCTGGGAGGCGGGAAATGTTCTATTTTTTTTTTTTTATCTGGATGTGTGTTCTGAAGGAGTGTTCACGTTGTACAACTCGTTGATTTCATTTATGATTTCAATTTTAAAGCTGTTATACTTTAATAAAGGTTTAAAAGTATTTTCATCTCAAAAAAAAAAAAAAAAAAAAAAGAAGCCTGTCACAGAGATGTGGAGAGAGGACCTCCCGTTAGCATCAGGTGTCACGGGCCCAGCCTTTGCGCCACAGCTTCGCTCAGTCACTGGACACAGGCTGCCCCAGGAAGGGCACGGCCATCTGTGAGGCCATGCTACAGCTAAGGCAAAGTCTGAAAGAGCGGACCCGAGGCCTTGCTGCCACTGCTCGGCATCTCTCCCTAGAAGGAGGAACTAGCCACAGCACCTCCGCAGCCTCTGCCCACACGGCCCCTCCGGGGGCTCCTCCGGCCTGCTCCTCCCAGGCTGCTGCACCCACACCGCGGCCTCTGACAGCCCTGGGCAGGCTTGCCAGCAGGGCATTGCAGAAGGAAGCAGGAAGAAGAGCAGACTTTGGAAATGCTATTTATCTGTAATCGTAGCCCCAGGCATCCATAATTAAGCCAGTGAATTTTCTTCCAGAGAAATTGCATAATGCCTTCCTTGATGAAAGACATTTGAGGGATTTTTCTGCTGTGCTACGTTGTGTCTGATTCCCACCCCTATATTAAATAATCTGAAGTCAAGAGTAGTAAACCATGACGAATACAGGGGCCGCAGATTCTTGGCCACCCCCTTGCTCACACAGAGAGAACAACACTGACCAGGTTTGCCCTGGCCTGGAAGAATCTTGAAGTGAATTACAGCTGGTAGTTGAGGAGCAGTTTCCTTGCAAGTCTCCTTGAGGGTCGTCTGTGGAGTCCTTTGTCCAGCCAGGCGCCGCCTCGTGGCAGCTCCATTAAGATTTGTTGAATGGAACTTTGGCATAGCCGATTCTTATCTGAGACAGGCCCAGCTCTCAGTCAAAACACCCTCTTTCCCTTAAATTCCTCTGCAAAGGGGAGAACAGATTGCATTTTTAGGCAGGGGGCTACCATAGCTAGGCAGTTGAGACCCAGGGACAGAAGGAGGAAGACGTAGGCCCTTCCAGAAGCTCAATTCACGAGTCATAAACTCTGCAAAAGCCCGGGGGCTCTGGCTTAATTTTTGATACCCTGCTCTAGCTCCTAATAAACCTGCATTTGTAAAACGAGCATATTATTAAAACCTGAGTCACAAGGTATCATGAGGATCCTGGAGATAACAGACCAAGTGCCTAACAGCAGGCCTGGCCCTGGCGGTGAGATGACGATGAGATCAATGGAGGCTTCACTACCGAAAGCTTCTCTCCTTAGCAGTGAAAGGCAGCCATGTGTTTCCAGGGCTTCATTTGTTCAGTCAGTCAATCAACAGGCACCTTGGAGTGCCCGCTTCTTGCAGGGCACAGGGCTACGGAGTCGGAACTCATCTGTGAACAGCATAGGCAATGATTCTTGACCACATGGAGCTTGGTCTGAGTGGAGGAGGCA